TTTAAGCCGTTTCTAAACCAGTTAAGCATTCTGTTCTCAGGAGATATTTTTCGCCATAGAAGTTGAACAAGCTGGAATGTTACCATTGGGCATATAGGTAATCCGAAGGGGAAGAAATAAATTCCGTAGTTAAAGTCGAGGCATCAAAAAAGCAGCTGGTAAAGACTTCATTGCGTCAAAATGAGTATTGAAAAAGGATATCATCAAAGTATATAAACGTCAGTCACAATCCAGCCCAAAGATATCATTTCCTGTCGTATAGTCAGTTACATGTGGAAAAGAACATGTTAAGCACTGGTCCACAGGTATCTGCAAGTAATAAGATCAAGAAGATCGGCATCCAGACAGTACGGAAAAATTTTTCCTGGCAGTTTAAGAGCGGATCCTAATGCAATCGATCAAGCAAAGAAATGAATGCAATCAGCCTCAATCTCTTACTTAACTAGTTTCTACGAGGATTTATGAAGAAAGCGTTTCAGACTTGATAAATGATCATTCTTGAGATGTTACCTCATGATTCGCAACCAGCTTATTCACCTAAATCCGTAAAACAATGTGAGAAAATGTAAACCTGGATTTGTAAATCTTTTGGCAACAGGTGAGGAAGAAAATACCTGCAGTGGTAAAGAAAACGAGGAGAATGTCGAATGTAAAACAGTTAATATTTAACGAAACGTTGTCAAATGATTTCATGGAGATACAAAAATGCACAGAGTTTCTCACAGACTGAACACGTGGTGAAACAAGGTTACGCTATGCGTAGGGTAAAAAATTGAAAGGCGTTAAATGAACTTCGATAGTGCAGCGTAAACGAAGAACTTACATAGCAGGCGAATGGAGAAACTAATACGACGGATAGGACATATCATTTGTCCGGATACAAACAACGACAGTACTTAAGCTATTATCATCGCAATGACATTTATCAAATCATTTTTTGCTTCTTATGCTTCGAGAACTGTTTAGAAGTGATTGGCTTTTATGCATTTAGAAACGAACAATCACAGAGGATGAGCTTCGGTGCGCAATGATTCTTCCGGAAGCTTATTAACTGTAGGAAGGACCGGACAGAATGGAAAACTAGTTTTACGTTTCGGGTGCAGTATATGTGTTCTTTTTGTAATAAGCGCTAGTTACGATCACGTGTTATGACCCACCGACTAGCAATGCGAAGGCGAGACGGGGCATCTGGTTCAGCAACCGCCGATGTTACAAAACAATGATCGTGCATTATGTGAATCTGTTGCAGAATATTCACCTTTGACAAGATGCAGAGGTCTTACCATAAGTTAAGAAAGTTATATTGCCCTCACTGCAGTTACTCAAAATAACGAATAAAAATCTGTTCCACAAAAGCGTTTTCGTCTTACCCGACAATTTCGAAAACGGCCTATTAACTCACCTCGAAACAAATCTGTTAAAAAACAACTAAACGAATCTTGAACGTTTCCAACTGTTTAATTGTTTTTCAACGAATTGTCCGATTCTGTGTTTGATTTCACGATCGAGTGTGCTGACGCAAAAAACGAAACGTTCACCATTGTGTTAAACGTTTGACCTATTTAATCAATTTAAATGGGTCTGACAGTTCGGAACTTCTCTACATACATGAAACAGCTGCCTTTTGACTACTAGTCAAGAACTCGGTGACCTTATACCTAAATTTTAACAAACTCTCAAAGGGTCAAAGGAGACAGTGACTGAAACACCATTTGAAAGTGCTCGAAACCCATGTGCATGTGAGAACCAATAAAACAATCTGTTGGTCCCGTTGAGCAGTCTCATTTCCTACCGACAGATACGAGAACGTTGATTCCCAACACACCAGTGTATTAAACCGTATATAACTATGCAAGAGAACTGTCTTCCCCTTCGATGTTGCTGTTTTCTTTGCGGTCGCGCGGCTATCCAAAATGACACGTATGGAATGCACAAAACAGGGTTTCTCGTCAGTTCTCATGCAGGGAACACTACCCCACTACATCCTTCCGACCTATTTGGATTAACCCACTAGTACTGAACGCCGCGTTCAGGGCTGATAAGCGATACTCATATCATATCACCAACTTCGAGACGGAGAGGACGCAGATGGAGTATGATATCCACGACCGATATCCGATAAATCGGTTTCAGCTTGTAAGCTTTGAATTAAAGAAAAATTGCTCTACTCACTCTTCTATGTCATCTGCAAAATCCTCGAGAAATTCCAGCTTCTTTTGCGAGAAACGTAGCTTATCCGCATCTGCCAGATCAGGACTATCCAAAGCGCGATCCAGTTCAGCAACTACTTCAGCTACGTTAAACGGTCTTCGGTTGTATGCCAAGGTGACTAGTTCAAAGTAAATGTGGACATTGCTCTGAAATATATGGCGGCTAGAAAATTAATCACACAAACGTCCTTCAGTTCGGCAACCTTATCATGATTCAGGACTTCATTGAGGACTTTGACCGCAAGTCTATCATTTTCTTTTACCTAAATTTCATTCCTTATAAATCAGAAAATTGCAAAACAAGGATACAGAAAAATTCGACAAATTTAAGCGTTTATGCACTAACAGTTCGGTTTAATCGGAGCAAATAAAATCTGATACGCATAGTGAGAAACTTGAATAGCGATGATTGGATAAAAGACCAGTAAAAGAGGGATTAGTAGTAAAGAAATTTTAAGTGATGGCGGCATCAGCAGTACTTCCACCGTATCACAGTATCTTCCAGCGGGTCTAAATACTGGACATCAATTATCACCTAATCGACCTGTATTCGAGGTCGAATCACGCCGACCGCAACACTGCACGTCACAGCGCAAGAAGTTCTGCTACCTGCTGGCGGAACCGACGGTGGCTTCAGAAATTTTGCACGACGAGTCCTCTAATCCGGTATTTCATCAATATTGTCTCCTCCAGCATTTGATAAGGTTCAAGGCAGCCTGAAACTGGCGGTGTTTTTTTTCTCGAAATGACGGGTCGTTTTCGAAGACTGTCACTCGGCATAATTATTTTCTAAGGAACGAACCTGTCGAGCTGGAACTCAGCCACGCCGTGATGGTTTATTGTTGCAGGTAACATCCAGAGACGCATCAGAAGGCTAGGAGGTAGGCACAATGAAGGTTAGAGTATAATTTGTAAAAATAAGAACCCTAATTTTTTTTCATTTTTAAGAATAGTTAAAATTGAATCAATGAGCAAGGGACCCCCAAGCATCTTCCTCAATGATCTGCATCTCAAAGTAACAAAAAATCTGTGACAAAAAATAAACCTGATACAATCGCATCGTTTTGATGACTAACCGAAGTTCATGACTTGATCAAAAAGTTGACTAAAAGAACGTAAGAAATGTCAGCGAAAAGCAGGTGAAAAATTCAAGCAAAGATACTAAATTAAAACAGTGCAAGGGAAGGCAAGATTTTTTCTGTTTGTTCAACCTGCCATATATCAGTACTACAATTTTAGTGACTGATTACTTGAATTCTTCATGTGGACGATGAGTTCTTGATTACCATAATCTTTCAATGGTCGACCCCGCATATAAACTATATTAAAACAAACCTCGACATCTCAAATCCGGGTCGAACTGAAACATCAGAATCTGTTTTAACCAACCTTATACGCGAAGCAAACCTTTTGAAGCTTATGATGATCAAGAGCTCTGCAATGACGGTTTATGACTACACTTTTCAACGTAGCTGTATCCACATGTGAAATCTATGCAATAAATGACTCTCTCAACATCTTACTTAGTAAAACCCTTAGTTTGACTAAACTATATGACAAAACACAAACCTTTTCACGCCACAGCTTTTCATAGAGACTCTGGTTGAAATTCGTTATATTGGGAGAAAACCGAAAATAATTGGTTGTTAAACTTCGTCTGAAGCTTGTTGTACACTGGCTATTAATGTTGTCGCACTTCCAAACGACTCTTCTAAACCGTTCCTCGATAAATTCTTTTGGGTGGCTACGTTGCTCCAATTTATCGGTTAGAATCAACCCTGTTTTGCTGCTGAAGAGAAGTTCATTTACCGTATAATCTCATTTTTCTTCAATACAACGTTTGGACCAGTCCACTTGGACACCGAGTCATAAAGACTGAAATTAAGATGTAAAGTACGTGCTAGTCTCATTTTGATAATGATTATCAACCTTCCATCGTAAATAATCAATTTTTATAAAAGTTATTTTATTTCCTCATATTTTATCGAGTCTTTATCATATATCATTTGGAAAAAGTATAGATGTCACCTTGGAATGAAACCTGGCGTATTTAATAGCGTAGAATGAAGCGATTTTCGACGGAACCTTTGGGTCGTTGAACAGCAATTCACAGTGTTTGCAAAAGTCTTCAAAATCAGGAATACCGTCGCCATCTTCACGCATAGCTGAATGAACAGCCATTCGCCTCTCTAATCCCAACTGTCTCGCCTTAATCAACAAACTACCAGGGAATGAGCGATCAAAATCCACCAAAATGGTTCGCGCCTTTTCGTAGTTTCCTAAAACCAAGCAGTAACGCAGTCAAAAATAACCGCATTCATCAAAAATAACAAATGCTTCTAACTACCACACTTCTCTTCGAACGCCGACCAGGCCAAATGGGGGTTCGGATTCTTTATCAAGTGCACAAGGCAAGCTCTTCGGTACACAGAACGAGCGCCTTCATTGTCTACCCTTTCCATGTAGCGCGCGTACTAAAACAAAACAAAAATGCAGATTAAATACCCAACTTCGCGCGTTCTACGCTGACAGAAAGAATTATAAACACCAGCCATACTCTCACAAAAGCATGCAGGGTGAAAGCATGCGACAAAGAAACGCGGACGGGCTTACATGCACGCCCGAAAATATGTCCTTTTACAAATAAATCGCTATCACCATGTACAAATTTACTTAACAGAATCAGTTTATACAGTACAAAATTGAAATTTATCTTTATGATATATACGGGTTCCGATCGAGAGAGGTAATACATCCTTACCGCTATAGACCGAAATCAATTCGCAATTCCGTCCATACCGACACGGACCGGAAATATTCACGGTTCCGTACAAGCCGGTAACAACTCGGATTTACTTAATCATTACTAAACTTGTTGCTATACCCAAGTTTTAGCACTGTTGCATATTTTAGAGTTTACGCCATGCCACTGAAATAGAATAACGCTTAGTCAGCAATGTGGTAAAAATTACACATTACTAGGTTATAGTGAAAAGCAAATTACACTGAGCCCATACTGGTAGAACCCAACTTCACTGACCCACTATGTAAATAAATAGATTTTAGTCCGCATAAATGCCATTAATAAGTAAGTATAAATTTTGTCACGCACGCAATCGGTTTAAATCGTGCAACTGCGTTCAGAATGCCCCATGTTATAGGCATGCTTAAGTTCAGGATTAGGCTTAGTAAACAGCGAAGAATTCTGAACGCAATTGCATGAATCGAGCTGATTATGTAAATTTGGGATTTACACTTAACCCATATACATTACGTGAAATACTACACTTCTGTACATGCAGAAATTTTTTTATAAATACTCATGGATCGAGATATATTCGTTAGTGTTCGTCAACCAAAATGGTGCAGTTTATCGGCCATGCACTGAGATGCCAAAATACAGGGAGTTGTAGGCTATTTAAACGATCCTGTGCTAAAGACAAGAAAATGGCACAACTACACGTTGTGAATCCCGAGAAATGACAGGAGATTGCACATGCCTATTAACTGCATTTGTGTGGACTGAAATCGATCGGTACATGCAGTGATTCATTACAGCTTTCAATAAATGCGGTGACGCCAAATCAGGATTATAGCGTATAATAAAATAATAACAAATAAATATCTTACCCTGAGCCACATATCCTCGTATAAGGCACATGCTATCATGCATCTCTCGAACAGAAACTTGATTCTCACGGGATCAGCTTCTTCGATCTCGAAGTCACAGTAATGTCGCCAGTTTTTCAGCTCACTGCGTTCCAGAGGCTTTGCGTGAAAGTATGGTCTTTTAATCTAAATCGTAAAACATTGTCGCCTTAAAGAATGCTTGTTTAGACGTCGCCAGACTTACCTGTTCTTCAAAATTCCATCTTTTGCTAACTTCATCTTCGGCTTTCAGAAACCGATACTTTCGCTTTTCGATGATTTTCGCACGGAAGAGCTTCAAACCTTCGGGTGTATACTAAAAATTTAATTATTACTCATATGATTTATATCAATAAGTAATAAAATCATCATTAAGTGAAAATCGTTATCCAAGTCAATAACAACAATTAAACCACTTAATGCTAAGAAAAGATCAAGGTAAAGGGGTAAGAGGTGTCATGATGGTGAAAAAATATTATTATAAAATAGAAAACTTCGTCTGGCTTCTACTGCTTGTAGACGTATCACGGTAATAACATATATCTTATAATTTTCACTTGCATACTTTATCATAATACTACAGAATTGCTACAACTGTTCTGAGAAGTTTTAGAACAAAGACGCACGTTAATAACAACTTCATTTCTGACCTAACATATCTACATCTATTACACGTTAAGAAAGACTCCATTTTGTATCCTTCTATTACGGAATTCAGCCATGAGACCTGAACGGATAGTCGATTGAGCGACCAAGCGAAAATCAAAGTGGGTGTTTTAGACCGCAATCAAACATAATCCCTATAACCAATGAACTTTTTCTATTTTCTTTATCTTTACAAGAACATGAGGATACCTCAAAGGAAGATATTGTACTTCTTTTCATGCACTGGTTGGGCAGCAAAGCCAAATTTCTACCAATATGTACTATCCCACTTCTATACAGCTAACACTCTGTACAGAGAAGTACAACGCCACTGTAGTAGACTGTTCCTGTAACCTACTTTTCGGTTAACTTTAGTAGGCACATTCTTCGAGTCCACAGTGCCGTTTTCTTCGACTGCATCTTCTTTTGTGAGCTCGTCGGCTGTAATAAAAAAATGTAAGGAATTCAGCTTTTAAACAAAAAATATTAAATATTAACATACTGCTAGCGTATGCATCTGCTGTTCTGACGACATTAAAAGATGTTAGCTTCAATAACAGCATTTGTGACGTGTTAAGCAATCGTTACTTATAAAATGATGTAAGTTGCTTCTATAAGCCGCGGGCGCTAAAAGTGAACAGAGCCGCGCCTCTTTAAGTATCGTCCTGACGAAGAGGCAATGGAAGGTAGCACCAGACTTTAAAATCTGATTTTGGATGAGCTATATGAAATTACCATACCCATACGTATTTATCCATCCTATGATATAGCGGATAAAAATAAAGGATTCCATAGAGTGTATGTTTGAAATTTCAGTCCTATAAACTTCTTCCAAATCTAAGTTATTGTTTTGCACCATACCAGATAAAGCAAGGCATTTAAATAAGCAGATCCTTCCCGTAACAGTCTACGAATATGAAGCATAGCATACGTTGCTCGCTGAAGAAGCAAAACTGCAAGTCAAGCAAAGAGCCACATAAAAGGCATGTAGGTGGCTTTAGCAGGTTGCAAAATTTAACAAAGCCATATCTTCGACTCACAAATGACGCTAACGAAATCATCGAAGTCGCTTATGTAAGATAAGTCGCTTATACCAGTGATCTTAATGGATGAACCCATATCATCATCAGCCTTTTTCGATCCACTGCTACTTGAAGACCTCTGCAAGACTTTGACACAAACCCTTGTTCTCTGTGATTTGTATTTTGCGAAGCCTAAGCCTTTTGTCTCACTACTGGTACAGTAGAATCACTGATGTTGCAGTCCAATCCTCTGGAATTTTCAGTTCCCTGAAAAAGAACTCGTATGAACATATGGGCTACGTTATTCAAAAATATTTAAGGAACATTGGCACTTTACACTACGCTGGTCTGAGTATGACGTTGCTCTTGCAAATAAAAAAAGATGGGAAACGCAGGACACTGCAGGTATTCAAAGAATGAAGCCGTGTCCAGATCTGCTTAAATCATCATGCAAGCGGGAACAGAGCCGTGGTGCAATACGAGGAGTTAGTAATTAATAAAATATATCGGAAATCATCATAATGCATTAATATAATTATAAAATCCCGGACTTTCCAACCTTTAAACAGATTGGCGTCCTCTGCTTTCAGCTCTTCTATGACCTGCGGCAGAATCGCTTCATACTCGGATGATGAAAGGATGTTGTGCGGTTCTTGAGAGTTGACAAACTCCTTGAAGCTAAAGCAGGAGACTCGTACAATAGCACAGAGACACAACAAAAGTTAACATATACGAAACCTGTCGAAGTTCGAATTGTAGCAATAAGTCGGCACGTCCAGCAGATCGTCGTAAAGTTTGAGAACTGCCTGGTAGTTGCCGTTTTCCATCTCCCAATTCACGTAGTCCTCCCAGAGTTTATCCGATCGAAATTCAAGCCCTGCTGCAGCGATCGCCCGATTGTACAGACTAAAATAGGCAAACGCTGAACGAAGGCAGACGACTGGTTAGCAG